TTCTCAGTTTCAATGAACCCAGCTTGTCCAAATTTGATCTGTGCGGATGCGTCTCAAATTCCCCTTGGGAGGCTTCCCCAGCGAATCCTAAAGGATGTCAGCCATTCAGAAGCATTCTGCATTTGGGAATAAACCCGCAATGCAAACACACAGCGCTGGACATACCGTGCCAGCTCTCCTCTGCAGCAATCGCATACATGGTCTCCACAATCCGAGCCTCACCGCATCTCTGAACACATTATTATACCAAGAGACCCCAAATAGTATGTTTGATTTAAAGGGGATGGGGATTTGTGTACACCAACCCACTCCTTCCCTATGTTTTCAGGACATTGAGCTAAGGCTTGGACCTCGTTTCATGTGATCACAATTCAGTGAGATGCTTCGCTCGCGCTTTTAGGACCCAACAGACGCAACCGATTTGGCTGTTCTACATTTCACTTGCCATAGACACCATTGCATTGCTATGGGACAACTTGGCCCAACCTTAAGTCTACAGAACATCTTCGACCCATGAGCTTGTCTTTCAGACTTTGCGCCGTGCCGGCAGCCACAGCGATTTGACCAGCCCAAAGTCCGCAAAGGTTTGCTTTCCTTATCCACAGACACCGCTGCGGGCTTGCGACGCGGCGCTACTGCATGCTTTCGCGCGCGACAGCAAAAGGCGCGCGGTTGGCTCGAATGGCTGCTTTCGTTGGGGGGTCGAGGCTACGCGTGTTGGAAGCGTTTTCTTTTTGTTTTATTGGATTTGGGCCACGAGATTGCTTTGACTTGTTTTACTTGGGGGTCGTGCTTGTGTGAAGTGTGTTGGAGGAACAAAAGAGCCCCTTGCCCTTCTGTGGGGCGAGCGTCGAGACAGCATGGGCGCGCAAACGCGTGCAGCAAATTCCTAAAACGCTGCGCCAACGACAAGTTGTTGCGACTGCCGCAGATTTGGAGCTACTGTCCGAATGTCATGTCGCGATTTGACACGTCCAACGCAAATGCAGCCTCTTTGCTTTGGCCCTGCCATCAAAAATGCGTTTGGCTCTTTACCGAAAAAGGCCCTGCATCACAAATGCGTTTGCCTCTTTTTACAACGTGTCCAACGTGTTTGGTGCGATGCTTCCTCCAAACACAAATGCTGAAACCTCCCAGCAACGATCAAAATGCTTTTTCATACGTGAAATTGGCACGGCACCACGGCGAGAAACCGTCGCATCAAAATCATTATTTTGCAATAATTGCTACCATGTCGCGCGGGAACCTTTGTCTAAACCCGCCTTGACTCTTATCGCAAGAATCCCTTAGGCAACACTATTTGGGGACTTCTCCAAACCGGAACTTCAATTGTGCCATTGGTCATCTGGCTCGTGGTCAAATTTGCCAGCTAACATGTTGGTCAATAGACCCCCTTGGTCAAACAAATGCTTCAACGGGAAGCCTTCCTTAGGAAACCAAAAGAAAGCACGGGGTCCTGTGCCATGTTGATCAGCCGAGCTCCTGGCGTGCCATTCCATGGGCTTTCCTGCCAAGAAGGGGAACTTGGCCGGCTGCAGCGTGTCGAGGCCTTAATGAGAGGAAAATTGGGAGATTGGACCCCTTAAGCTCCAGGAATAAGAAGCGCACAAGCAAGTGTGCAGAGCCAGGAAACAAACAATCAAACAAACAAACAAGCAAACATGAAAGCAAGCACCCAAACAGGCAACCGAGCAAGCAATGACAGAAACACTAATATGCAGACAAACACACGACGACGCAAAGACACACATAAGCCAACAATCAAAATGCAAACGCACAGCCAATCAAAATGCAAACGCACAGCCAATCAAAGAAGCAAGGACACCGGCAAACAAGCAGAACAGCAATCTATAAAGCAAACAAACCAACACAAATTCAAACAAGCAAACATGCAACAAACAAACATGCAAACAAGCAAAAACAAACAGCAAACAAACAGCAAACAAACAGCAAACAAACAAGTACGCAAGCAACAAGCAGACCAGCCAACACGCAAACAAGCAGACCAGCCAACACGCAAACAAGCAAGCCAGCAAACACGCATTCAGTCACAACAAACAATCAAGACAGCACGCAGGCAAACCTCCAGGGAGGCAAGCAAACCTCCAAGGAGGCAAGCAAGCAAACAAGGGAAGCAAAGAAGCAAAGAAGCAAAGAAGCAAAGAAGCAAAGAAGCAAACAGCAGTACTTCACCAGTATCCCGCGTTGTACTCCAATGCGGAATCTCTGATTTCCCATTCACCTCTCAAAGCCTGAGGCCCCCGGCTCAAATTGATATTTCTCAATCCCGCCGACTTCATCTGGGGCAAGAAGCGTTTCAGCCTGGCCGCAGTGGCGTCAGCTACATGTTCTGCATCTCGAAATGGGGACATTGGCAGGGAAGTGTCTGAATCTCGACGCACTTCGAGAATCCTCTCCGTAATGAAATCTGGAAAACTCCAAATTTGAGTCTGACAAGGCTCCCTCCCATCCCTCCCATAGCGCGCACACCGTCTCTTGTAAACTTGGCCAGTGACCAGCCCAAAAAAAGTGTACACTTTTTGGGCCACCACTAGTAAAAAGGGAGAGCCACCAAGAAAAAAAGTGCAAAGTGTGTCCACTGGCTGGGGGAGATGAAAAGAGACAGCATCGCGCGGCCATAAGGCGCCTGACGCCATTGGTCGTGATGCCCAACGACAGAGGCTCCGCGAGACCTCTGGTGCCGAGGTGACTTTGGGGTCGACGTCTGGGCTGAGGGCCCAGCGAACATTCAGCTCGCCAAAGTCCTGCAAGAGTTCAGGTAAGACATTCGCTGTTGCTAGATAGATTGAAGAAGCAGGGATTTGGCAAGAAGATAACAATAGAGAAACCGTAGACAGGGAGATGTGTTAGATTGAAGAAGCGGGGGATTTGGCAATCAAAGAAGGATATAGATAAATTTTGCATTCAAAGAACAATAGAGAAACCGGAAACCCAATAAGAAATGCAAGCTTCCAAGCCAACGTACATGTCAAACAACTTCTGAGTCCTCCAGAATGCGACCGAAATCACTGCGTATTGTTGGCTCTCCGCCAGTCAGTCGCACCTGCACACAGTTTGAAAAGCAAGGCTCGGTGGTGCATTGTGCGGCAATCTGCTGGCAACGTCGCATCATGCTGAGGCATTCACTTTTCGCACACCCAACTGAAGAAACAGCTGCATTATCCGACGCAACTCCTGTCATGTCCGGAGTGAGAGACGTGCTAAAGGTAAAGCACCCTTTCTCGATCCAGACAATCAAAATACAGCTGGTGGAGGTTTAAGTTAGTTTCGTTGCTTTGTTTCCGGATTGTGTTTTTCTCCACTGGTTCCAACATGCTAAACTTTGTCCAACAACAGCGGAATAGGCTCTAGCATCACCAGCGAGCTGTTGGGGCTTTGGGGTGGGTGAGGTTAAGGATAGGGCTTGAATAGCGTGAGTCTAGGGCTGGTTTAGGGTGTGGGTTCGGATTGAGTTTTAGGTTGGGTTGAAGGCGGCTTTAGGGTTGCTTCAAGATTGGTCTTAGGGTTGGGTTCGGATTGGTCCAGGGTTGGCTTCAGGTTGAATGTGGGTTTAGGGTGGTTTCAGGGTGGGTTAGAGGGTGGGTGTAGAAAGTTTCGGGTGGTTTATGGTTGGTTCGGGGGTGCGTTAGGGTTTGTTTTGGGGTTGGCTTGGGCGCATTTAGAGCTGCTTTAGGGTGGGTTTGGGTTGGTTTAAGATCCAAAAGCGGCCAAAAGGCAAACGAACACGCAATCAATCGTTGAACTGCGACATGCTGCTATGAACTAATGCCAAATCATGGATGTGAATTGTGCGGTCGCAGCATGCAATCAAGCCAAACCAACCAAACAAGGCAAGCAACATCAAGCAAGCAAACAAGCCAGCCAACAAGCAAACAAACCAAAACAACAACAAACTCTCAAACAAGCAAACAAACACGCAAACAAACAAGCGTGCAGGCAAAGCGAGAAAAACACTTAAAAGCGCATCGAAGCAATGCCCAGCCCTAGACCCACGGCGTCCTCAGCAGTCATGACTTTGCCACCTGGAGTTGGTGTGAATACGTCCTGCAAGGGCATTCTCAGAGTCGCGATGCGTTCTTATGTAACTGAAGACGATGTCCTCGCCACCTTCAGGCATGCAGTACCGGCCTTAAACGCGGCGAACTTACTTGTGCTGGAGCTCAAGTTCATTAAACACCCAAACCATCCATGTACCGGCCAAGCTGCACTTCAAATTGCATCTATCCGTCAACGAAACCCGCAGGTAGCTATGCCTGGAAGCGCATCATGTACTCCGAACTCCGAACGCCATGCTTGCGAGAAACAAATGTCAAGTGCTTACCATCCTGTGCGCGCCTCCGTCCAAAACTATCCACAAGAGCTGGATCAACCGCATGAGCAACCTGCCGGCGGTGCCAAGCCAGAGTCTGCCCCAAAAAACGCGAAATGCACGAGCCAGGCCTGTCGTAGGCCCGAAAACCTGAGCGGACGCACAGGTCGTTCTGCTGTCATTCACTCGTCTATGACTTGCAGCCAGCAATCTGGCCTCATCATTCTACCACGATCAAATCACCCCCTAGTATTGGTTAAAGGGAAACAACCGATTCCATTTTCTGACTTTGATACCCCCCAGAAACCGTCAAAAACCTTGATCGACCTTGCGCAACATATTTTTTGCCACTCGACAGCTGGCTTGTCACAGCTGTGCAAAAGCCAAGGGCCATCACCTGCTAGCTTCAAAAGGCAAATCGCTGTGCCCCCACAGTGCCTGCAGATGTATCCCTGGTCGCTTGGAACGAAGCCGACTGCTCCATCCAAAGCGAGCAAAACCATATAACACTCATTCCAGCGCATTGGCTATCTGTCCAGCATGAACTGGAAGCCGCAAACTGAGCAAGACATGCATGCATGAAGCTATAAAAGTTTGGGCCGACACTTCTAAATGATGCACAGCTCATGGCACGTCCCTTGACGCCCCTACCTGGCAATTCCAGGCTGCTTCAGCTGCCCTGCGGGACCTCATTGCTAAGCAAACTCCGCAGGAAAAAGAAGAAGGACACTTCGGCAGCGTCGACTCCCTTGCTGTACCTAAGTCAAGTGTGCATGCAACGGCCATAGCTGAGAAACACATTCTTCGCACACCCTCCGTTCGTCTTGGTTCCAGGCACAAAGCGGGAAGCTACCCATGCACCTCCATAAATATAGCTGCATGCTCACTGCGACTGGCAACTGCGACAAAGTGCCCTGCCTATCACAGCGGCAACATAGTTGCTGGGTACTCGTTCCAAAATGCCCTCCACACCAAGATGCTGAAGTATTACAGGAGGTACCGCATGCTGCAGCACAGCCCTAACAAGCCTTAGCTTGGTGCAAACCCTGAGCCCGAATCAGCTGGCGTGGCACTGGTGCTGTGCACGCATACGTCATGTTTGTCGCCAACATCAGGCGGTGGCCACTGCAACGAAAGTGCAAGTTAAAGTCCCATACTCTCGAGTCGCATCCGGCTGCATTCAAGATGCTTGTCTCGCTCTGAGCTGTCCATACTTGCGAACTGGTCCATGATCGCATCTTGCAATGCGTTGATCTTACCTAGCCCCGAACGCTGGCTGCAGGTACCCCTACGTTGCTGTGGGTTTTCTGCGTTGCTGTGCAGCGATGGGGCGGGGGGGTAGGGAAGGTCACGTTCGCTTCATTGTGCGTTCTTTTGCTTGGGTCCCCGCATCTCGAACTCGCTCATCGCGCTAGGGTTAGCCTCTGAACTACACGCGATTGGCCACCAAAGTATTTGCGGAAGTAGAGCTTGCTAAAACCCATGCCGATAATTATTCATATCATCTTGCAACAAAGTGGCGTTTCGTATTGTAATATTTAATTTTGGGCCATTCCAGTTGCACTCTCTCCATTCAACTCCGCTGATCTCGTAATAATTGCATGGACAAAACGGAGATGATGTTCGCAAGGACGCACGTCCTAGGCAAAAAGGCATGGAAGTGTTGCCTACGTGCAATAACGTGCAATTGAGACAAGCGTGCTCAGGTTGGTTCAACAAAGTTGTGTTTCTAGCAATCAAAGCAAACTGTGGCACATGGGCATCATGCTTGCGTTGAACAAAAGCGCAAGCTTTTGAACACCCATAACGGAATGAATATTTTTCATTTTTACTTGCTGCTGATATTTTGGGTCCCGCGCTAAAACACCGTGTTGTTTCCCAACATTTGTGCGTACTGTTGCGCAGGCAGGACTAGCATGCGTAGATGCATGTCAAAAGATTGGCTTGTCTCGCGGCGGGGTTGCAAGCTAACTGATAGACAAAACAATTTCTCTGGACCACGCACTCATTCGCACACCCAGCGTGCAACACGCATGCGCGCGGTCTGGCGCGAGCTCGAACGTGTAGCAGCCAGAACCTTGAAAATAGTCGCCTTTCGACAGCCCAAAATGTTTCCCAAGGCCGGACACAAGCTTGCGTTTCGCAGGTCTCAACATATCACTTCGGGCGCGAAACGTGTCGGATGGTGCGCAGCTTTGGCAGCCTTTCTCAGACGCCGACACGCACATTGTCCCGCCAAACAACAACGATGTCTAACAATGTCGTGGACGCAGGACGCCATCTAGGTTCCGCCAACAAGTGTTTCTCTAGATGACAATGAGGGAGAAATCCAAAACATCGAAGTTTGCCACACAAGTTGCCAGATTCGCTCGGCCCCAGGAGCCAGGAAGCAGTCAGATCAAAATTTTAGAAGATGCGGACTTGGCGCCCGAATCCATGCTCCAGCTAGAGGCATCCCAGCCCCTTTGCGCTCGTCTGTAGCTCTGCGTAGGGCGGCTGAGACAGGCAGCTGGCCAGCCCACTTCAACTCTCCAACCAGGCTGCGCTTCTCTGGACTATGTGGCGCCACGCCGGCAGCCCAGGGCTTCCCTCAGCTCTTAGGGCTTCACCTGGCCGGCTGCAGCCAAGCCACGCGCTTGCGCGGTCGGCCACGCACTCATGTGCCAAGCCCCAGCTTCCTTGCCCTTGGACTACGGCTGTGGCTGCCCTTCAGCACCAAGCGGGTACTTTCACGAAGGGCCAGGCACGAATCCATCTCTCTCCAATTCTAGTAGACCCACAAGTTCTTTACACGAATAGAGTTGGACTTGATTTGCGCGTAGAGCGGGACTCTATACGGGAATGAAGTGGAACTCTATACGCGAATAGAGTGGGACTCTGTACGCGACTGGTGGGACTCTATATACGCCAATGTTTGGAGTGTCCATACGCCAATATAGAGTGGGACTCTAGAGTGGGACTCTATGCCTTATCGTGGCTTTGGCCCCCCGGGTGTTTCGCTACCATTTTATCCAAAACAGCGACCTTCACGGAGAAAAGAAGCCGCTCACTAACTTGCTGTGCTCTTTTAATTACAAGGTGTCAGCCCAAAGCAATATTACCATACCACTCCCGACTTTCGGCGACACTCCCGACTCTCGGCGTGTGTCGAATACTTCGCTCAACAGGAACAACAAGACGCGCGACAGTGTTGTTTGGGAGCCCGCTTCAGCATTGCATTTTGTGACAAGTCTTCCGGAAACCTGGATCGAATCAGTTGATTTTGGTGATAGGGAGTTGCAAAGGAAAAGTGGCCGGACCCCAGCTTCCTGGGCTCGGCCCGGCGCAAGTGCTCTTTGTCTGCTTGCCCCAAAGGTTGAAGTGTATCAGTCAAACAAGGCACCAAAGGGCCAAGGAGGCCCTCTAGCAAATCCGGGGATTCCAAAGCCATGCCCATTGAAGCAAAGCTGCTGGAGATCACTTTGGTCGCTTCGACCTTCGAGATATGAGGTGCGCCCTGATTGGCCTTCCAGATTGCTCTAAACTCATTCCGCGCATTCTCGGCGATGGTATCCTCAGGAGTTCGGGTATGTGTGGAATGTGAGCTAAGAGTAAAGAGCTGCAAATCTCAAATCTCTCCTGAATTTGTCGGACGTAGGTCTCATAAAAGGCAGGCGGGACATCACCACAGGCTGGATTGTAGCACATCATCTGGTCATGATCCTTCAAGCAATGGCAGGTATGCAGCGATCTTCAAAGCAGCCGATCTTCGGCCGCCACAAAATGCGCGATGGGCTTCAATGCATTTTACGGTGTGGCTCCATAGCGCCCAACAAAAACTCCTCCCCATGCTGGTGATTGACTAACTTTTGACATGGAACGCATGTCGTGCCTCCTCTGACAATGCCAGCGCAGCGAGCACTTCCAGCGAGCTGGAGTTGACACCGCCCTGCGCCGGTGCTCGAGATTCCCACCGTTTCTGGGGCTTTGCAAATGCCATTCCCCGTGGCGTTAAAGCGAAGCCAAAACAAAAAACACCACTTTTCTTGGGGGGGGGGTCCCTATTTTAGCCCCACCCATATGGGGGTTTGACCCACCCATATAGCTGTTTGGTCGGACGGCCCCATGCCTTGTTTGTGGACGCATCCTTGAACACGTGCACACCGGCGGCTTCCAGCACACCTGCGTGAGATCAAGGACTCTACACAAGCAGGTAAACGACGGTAAACTGTCTGTTGATAGGGGGACCCGCAAAATAGTTCTAGGGGTTGATTCCTTGTCCATTCTTTTCGACCATCGTTCTTTTCAAAACCAGCCGTTTCCCCTGGGTTTCCGAAGGCGAAGGTTCTTTAGAAAGAAGGATCCCTGCAAAGAATGGGGAAGGTATTCCTAGAATAGTGGCTTTCCTTTCAGTTCTCTTTACAACCACAACAAAAGGGGGGGTAGAGGTGTTTTGTTTTTTTCCCAGGCTGGTTTTTGCTAGGGCTGGTTTTCTGCAGGGCTGGCAACAAATCCACCCAAAGTCAACCCTAAACCCACCCAACAGCAGCCTGGATGTCAGACCTCAATCAACCCCAAACCACCACAAGACCCACCCGAATGAAGATCTAAGCCAGCCTAACCCCCCCGTAACTTAAACGACAAGTGAGGCTGGTGATGCTGGGGATGGGGGAGCTGATTTGTGTTGGGTGTGCTGCTGGAAAAACGGTGCCTTTAGGGTTGCTTTAGGAATGATGTTGCGTGAGTTGCGGGGCGAGTTTTGGTGGTTTGGGGCAACGCTCCAAAACCAATCCTTAACTCACGTAACCACATCCCAAAAGCAACCCCAGAGGCACTGTTTAGCCAGCAGCAAACCCACTCCAAGCCCGCCCCAAATTCCACCCGAAGTCAAGCCTAAACCAGCCCAGCGGCCTGGACCCATCCTAATGAAGCTCTGAGCCAGCCTAAACCCCCCTCAACTAAACCAGCCCTCAGCCACTCCCAACCGCCTTCCAATCAGAGCCAATAAACAACTCTCAGGCCAATTGAGGCTGGTGATGCCGGCGATGCGGCAAGCCAACCAACCAACCAACCAACCAACCAACCAACCAGCTAGATAGATAGATGGCTGGATGGATGGATAGATGGATGGATAGATAGATTAGATGGGATAGATAAATAGATAGATAGATAGATAGATGGATAGATAGATAGATAGATAGATAGATAGATAGATAGAAAAATAGATACAAAAATAGATACATTTATTGGTTGATAAATAGCTGTATAGAAAGATGAATAGATAGACAGGTAGATAGATACATAGATATTGGATGTCGACTGAGAAGACTACATAGATTACATTAGATTAGAGTATATTTGCTTAGATTAGATTAGATCTCGACAAATAGATGGATAGATGGATGGATGGATGGATGGATGGATGGATGGATGGATAGATAGATTGGATAGATAGATAGATAGATAGATAGATAGACAGACAGACAGACAGACAGATAGATAGATAGATAGATTAGTAGGTAGGTAGGTAGGTAGATAGGTAGATAGATAGATAGATAGATAGATCGAGAGATGGATAGCGAGGAAGATGGCCGGATGGATGGATGGATGGATGGATGGATGGATGGATGGATGGATGGATGGATGGATGGATGGATGGACGGATGTATGGACAGATACATTGATAGGTAG